ATACGGGGGCTGACAGCTCTAATAAGGGCTGTTTCGGGAGAAAAACACATTTATTCCGGGAATCTGGAGATTTTGCCGGGAATCGGGAAACCTAGGAAATTTTTCGGGAAATATGAGATATTTTCGGGACATTGAGCAAAGATTTGATATTACACGTTATCAAACAATATATACGCACAGTGATATGCACCCTTCAATGTGCTGTATGTTATGTATTTTGACAATTGAAAACAGCTTAACTCCCCATGATATGAAAAGACCAATCAGCAACGTTTCCAACTAAAATTGCATGAAGTTGGAGTGCGATTGACCACGTGCAATCCCCAGCGGACTGACACAAGAACCGTGCGGTGCAAGGCACATACTATCAGTATACTTAGCTGAAAGTGATATCCAGAACAATTTCAAAAACCGCACAAAATATAAAATATCATCGACTACTTCTACGCAAAGTCAGGCCAATAAAAATAAGCATAAAAATGACAACTGATTTAGACAGCATTTGGACAGAATTTGTCCTCTCAGAACACTAGAAATGGCGTTTCAGAGCACCAAGATTTCAAAATTTTCTTGGGGAGCATACCCCCAGACCCCCCTCGTGGCTGGCCCCTTCAACGCTCGCCTGATTCGTCGGTGATTAAAAAAAGCTATGATTTTATATACTTAAGTTGGACAGTCTTTCTGTGTTAACATGATACCCTCAATGTTCAACTCCTCTAAACGAAAAAATAACTAAGGTTAGATAATTAACAAGTTACATAATTAACAAGAAGCTGCAAAAAATCTCTAATTAAAATTTTTAATTTTCATTGTTAAAACAATATTGGGGAGTTGAACATTAAACATGGGGAATGCCACCGAAAAATTCGGGAGGGTCATCCAAATTTCCGGGAGGACATAAAGTTATTCATAAGACTGCCCAAACAGCCTTTGTTAGAGTTGTCACCCCCCGTCTTAATGCCTTCTAGATATACCAAATCCCCTTTTTTATACTTTTAGAAGAAGGTTGAACGCGTTTTAACGTGTTTTCTCCTCCCTGCAGGCACACTAACGAAGGAAAAAGAAACGAGAAAAAGAAAGCGTGAGGAAAGGAGGAGAAGAAAAATGGCGATGGCTACTTTGAAAATGTTGGACACAAAAGGTCCATTTGGCGGTAATGTTTTCAGTCTTGTCGGTTAAAATTCAGTCACCTTGTCGGTAGTCGGTTAAAATTTTCGATCTTTGTCGGTAGTCGGTTAATTAAATTTTCGATCTTTGTCTGTTGTCGGTAAATCTCAGTTAATAATTAAAAATGCATGTTAATTATTAATGTTTCTTATAAAATTTACCTAGTTTTAAGACCTTGAACCCCATATAACGTGTAAAACTTGTCAGAACTTGATTTGTCAGAAGTTTTTAAATCGACCGGAACCCGGCTACGGTGGCGTCC